CTCTGTCTTGAAAAACCATGATATGCCAGCTCATCTCCTGAACGCTTTGCCCTGATCATTACTGCCTGGTCTGAATACTCAAAACCATTGCTAATCGACGGACAATTTGCCTGGTCAGGCCATCCACCCTGCCTGCTTTCATAGTGGCTTTGTGCCAAAGCTGTTCTGCTACCATGAGCAGAAAGTTGCAAAGCTGCCAATTAACTATATTTTGGTTCCCTAAAACGCCACAGAAAGAAAGAATTAGATGTCTCTCCTGAGCTAGGGGGGAGCTAACGAGCTGTAAAGTCCTAGGAGCCTGGCTGGGGCTAGTGGCATTAATGAGAACAACAGCAGGGTAGAGGAAGGTCTAAGTGTGTTATGTGCAAGTTGAAAATGAATGACACTGATTATGTCCATACGTAATACGCGCAGATCTAACTCTGCCAGCTCCACTAGCCTCCTGCACTATGCTCTGGCCTAAGTAGGGACTTAGTAAATTTACAGCAAAGAAAATCCTTAGAGACTAGAATATGATAATTTTGAATCAAGAGTACTCGAGTGATATTGCTAGTGACCAGCAACCAGCATGAAGAGCCACCGTGACCAAAGATTACTTCTGGTGGAGAGCATAAGATGCAATCCACTGAAGCAATTTGTCCCAAGTTTGAGTTAGCTGCATCATCCATGAATGGGTGCTGGCCAGAGTAATATGCCTTGTGCAGGTGGGTTTGCTGAAGAGGTTCATACGAACAGTGGAGATAAGCCCTACTGAACACTGGAACAGGCTGCCCAGGGAGGTTGTGGAGTCTCCTTCTCTGGAGACATTGAAAACCCGCCTGGACACGTTCCTGTGTAACCTTATCTAGGTGTTCCTGCTCCGGCAGGGGGATTGGACTAGATGATCTTTTGAGGTCCCTTCCAATCTCTAACATACTGTGATACTGTGACCTCTGCACTTTCAAACACATCTTTATTTGGTTTCTCAGCTTGAGGAGTCGCTGCAAATTTTCCAGCCCCAGTATGAATCATGCCTTTCTGAGCCAACTCTGTTTTCAAATGCAATTTAGAATGAGTAGATAGAAGTGGAAAGAGCTAGCAGTGCGTTCTACCACAGGCAATAACTTTCTAGCGTAAGATTAGAAAAAGTGATGGGTAGGAAGATGAATCTCAAAACAAATCCAAAGAAAAATCAACCTTGGTGGGCAGGAGTGGCAGGTGGATAAGAATCAGGTGTGGCCTAAAGAAATAATGACAAAAAGGGAAGATGGATATTTTACCCATTTAAAGGCTATACTGATCAGTATTTCACCTAAGTATATTCCCATTTTGGGGTCACTATTCTTGGTCAACAGGTGCAGTGTGTCACAGACCGGATTTATTGAAAAGGCAGACAATAGAAAATACAAAGCCTTAGCCCAGCTATCAAAAAGCTATCTTTGGTATGTAATACGTGTGAATGAGTACCCACATAGAAGCTGAGACTTTTTCTGAAAATGAATTAACAGCTTCCGTGTGAAGCCTCATCCACACTTCAGCTAATCTGTTGAATGTTACTGTGACTGACTGCAGGTAACACAGATTTCTGGTTGCACAGGAGTAAAGGGTACAAACTGACAAAGATAACACCACAGATAGCTCCTATGCATCTTGATGCAAAGACGGGGAAACTATGCTTTAGAAAGGGGTCTGCTGCTTGGCCCTGTTTTGTTTAGTAGATTTGTCCCACCTATGAAACTGAAGGCTCTAAAATGTGCAAGTTCTTGGCTAAGAAGAGTGGATGAAAAGGAGGGGACACTCATGGGAGAGGTCACAGAAGAATTCAGAAAAATGAAGGTCTGGACTTAGCAGAGCTTTCCCCAGAATGGCACAGACTTACAATTTTCTGTTTCTCCTTACTCTGCTTACATAAAGCTTTTGAGTGTATGAGGATTTGTTCAAAGACAAAGTATTTGAGTGACTTTTTAGAGTCAAGTCAGTCATCTGAACCAGCTTGTTAGATCTTGGCCTCTGAAGAGAAACTCAGTTATGCATGTTTGGGTTAGCACAATGGAAAATCAAATAAGGACTACAGTCAGATACCCAGCCCCAGAACAGCTAGACCTGCCTTACTTTCCGATCATCATATGGAGGTTACAACTCAAAAGGCTGAATTACTTTGAAGCACAGCATCTTAAAACGTCCCTTAAAACCCCATGCTTAAAACCTGTTCAAAAGTAAGAAAAATGGAATTGCATGGGATTATTCATGTGACAAAATCGGTGATTTCTTGTAAGACTGCAGCAGCTTTTTTCCCCATCTCCTCTGCCTTTATTGGCAAGCCTCGGGGAAGGTTTGAGTACATAAACCATGTTGGGTTTTTTATGCCATGAGCACAGGGAAGTCTAAGGCTTACCTGGAAACTAGTGACTCCCAGTATTGCTTCCCTGAACATAAAGGAATTAAAGAAAATCACAGAATAACAGAATGATTTGGGTTGGAAGAGACCTTAAAGACCATCTACTTCTGTCCCTCCTGACACAGGGAGGGACACCTTCCACTAGACCAGGTTGCTTAAAGCCCCGTCCAGCCTGGGGCTGAACACTGCCAGTGATGGGGCAGCCTCAGCTTCTCTGGGCAACCTGTACCAGGGTCTCACCACACTCACAGTGATGAGTTTCTTCCTAACATCTAATCTAAATCTCCCCTCTGTCAGCTTAAAGCCATTCCCCATTGTCCTGTCATTACCTGCCCTTGTAAAAAGTCCCTCTCCAGATTTCTTGTAGGCTCCTTACGGTATTGGAAGGCTGCTATAAAAATGCAGGAAAATTGTATCGTCTTCCCTCATATTTTTAAATTGAAAAAGGCTTTCGGAAGAATAACTTTAAAATTGACATGCTGCCTATGAGATTTTCTCTCTGGTTTGAATTCAGTGTTTGTTCTATCTTTGTTCATTTTGCTTTTCTGCACAAAAGACAAATCTAGCTGGTTTTATAATATGCCCTCTGTAGTTTGGTTAGCCAGGTCTTATTTACTCTACTACTGTATTTGTTGTGGCAGAAAAAAGTTCCTGTTCTAGAGACAGTCTTGAGATCCTAAGGCTTAGAATAGTGGTCATCAAACTTTTTTTGATAATACACCTCTATTAGTAATTTTTCGAGCATGCACTCCCCATATATGTGTACTTATTCTTAATTTATATATAGCTGCATTATTGGATTTCTAATATTTTCTTCCTGCAAGGCAGTGCATTGTCTCGTGGGCTTAAAGAAGCAAATATATATTATTATATATATATATTATATATTATGGGGGAATATATATTATGGGGGAAAAACTAAAAAATTAGTTTTATGTTTAATAAATATATGTTTAGAATTGATTCTGTGTCTTAGCTATTTCTCTAGGGATACACAGAATACAGCCCTGGATACAGCTACTGAAGTAAGATTCTCAGGATCAGAGGAAGCTCCCCTCTCCATCACTGAGGAATTATCAAGCAGATAAATTTGTCTCTGGTATAAAAGTTTTACATTTTAAGACAACTGTAATTAATACCATTACTATTTTACTGAGGTTTCATTCAAAAGGTTGTATTAAAATGTAGAGTAACAAGAGGTCATTGAATGAAGTGCTTGTCAGAATCACGTATGTCAGCTACATTAAACAGAAAATTCCCCAAATACATGTCTTGTTAGATGATAATATAATCTTCAGATGAGATAATCAGAAATAACAGTGAATGCACACTTTTTTAAAAATGTGCTTCCTTCTGCTGAATTAATCACAGAATATTAAAAATTGCAAGTTGAATAAAAATCAACGGATTTTTTTTCTATGAATGTCTGATGTTAAAATACATTTAATATTGACACAATCTTAATGAGAATGCAAAAAATGTAGTGAGATGCAGAAATATCCCAACGATCTATGTATTGAAAAAGTCAAATGCAGATTTTCTTTGTCTTTTCTCTAAAATATGCTAGTTTTCTAGTGATTTAGTCCACAGTTGGAGATTTGCAGTCAAGATTCTCAAGTGACTATTGAAAAGTCGCAATCAAAGCCTTAGCAAATGGGCTTCTCTTTAGAGGAGCATGGCCATGCTACCACTTTCTCAGGGAACATGTGGGATTGGTTTGGTATTTGGCTGAATGCTCTGAGGAGATACCATATTTCTAGCTACATGTTTTGTACCAGTAAGAATACATAAGCAATGTCTTTTGGAAGACCTTAAGGTAAACGTGTATGCTCTAAGCTTCATGCATTGCTGTATCTTTTAATTCCTCAGTACTTTTATTTCCTTGACAATCTAAGAGACTTGACAAAAACTTGCTATTCTGGTAAGAGGAGTCTTCCTCTCATAAATAATGGCCTACATCTTCAGCTGCCATGAGCTGGCATATTTCCTCTGATTTGATACCACGATGTAAATCCACAGAGATTTACTTCCATTTCGGGCAGATCTACATAGATGTGAGTCTTTTCTGTTCTTGGCATGATATCTTAGTGGACTGTTTCTAGGTTGGTCCTATCTTTGGTACATGTAGCTGCCATCTGTGTTAGGAAGCGATCAGGGTTATATTAGAAATTTGGGATGTATTAAATTCTAACTCCTTCTGCTTCTTTCGCTCTTGCTTTTGGTCTCCCTGTTAGCGATTTTAGCTATTGCTCCTGATATTTAGCTATTGCTCTACACATCCTGTAGATGCCGCACATAATTGAGTGGAATCAGATATATCTGTTAAGCGGTGTGCCAGATGAGTTCTGTTAATAATATTTTACATGCCCTATTTGTCTCCAGAAGGGCTCTCTCATGCATGCACTGTGTGCCTAACTTAGCAGCACAGTCTTGCTGATATTTTTCTTGTGCTCTGATCTGAATGCTGCTGGGCATAGCATCTATTGCTTTTGAAGCTTAATGCTTTACTTCAGCTGCATCCCTTCTCTGTTGTGTGTGTATGTCTACTGCACACTGTAAATGAGGGGAAATAATCATCAACTTGAACAAATCCTTATTTATGTGACCCAAGCTTATCACTTACCTCCGTGACAGCGAAGCTTCTTTTCCCACATGGAACAACCTTGTACCATTTGTCGTGCAGAACATCCATGAAACCATGGGACTTGTACTGACTTATCAGGTCAGAGATGTTTGAGGTGAGTGGAGAATTGGGGGGAAGACCAATACCATATCCTAGAAGGAAAAGCAACACAATCATTTCTCTTTTAGTTGTCTGCTTTTTCCTAAAGTATGTTCATTTCAGTTGTCAACTACCAGTGTGGCAGAACAAGCTGGCATTCTGTTTCAGCAAGCCAGTTGAAACCTGGATGCTGGCTTACTGTGGACTGAGAATGATAAGACTTTTTGCTGTGCAAAATAAACTAACCTAATACAAACAAGACATACTCATTCAAAACTATTAAGTCCAAACAAGTAGTATGTAAATTTGGAGGCTCAAAGCTTAAGATGGAGTTACAGATAGATGAAAAAACCTGTGTTATCTCTAGAAACACAGCCTTTTGCATGCCCTCACCATGGGTTCTTCTTTTTTATCTTGATTAAGCAATGTAAAAGGGTCTTAATGCTAAGTAAACCACTCTGTGATCCCTTTACGTTGTTAGAGCAATGGATGTGACTGTGGTGTCAACTGTAACATTTTCTTCCTATGTATTTTCTGATGACAAGTTTTGTGCATGTAAATGTATATGGCAGCAGTCTGTATTGCTGTTACACAGTAATTTAAGGTCCAAGGGATATCCTTTCCATTTGTGCAATTCTGTTCTGGCAGTGACATGGACCTTCAGATAGTAATAAATACAGTTCTTAGCCGCTGAGTTGTCTTTTATCACATTAAAGTGCTGGTAAAGGACCTAGCGTAAATGAAACTGGATTCAGTAACTCTATGGTCCTGAAATTTGCAGAATCTGGGTTTTGATTTTAGAAAAACAAATACAGTTCGTACCTACAAGACATGCAGTTGCATACAGCGATGTCCTGCCAACTGCCTGTAAAGAGCACTTTCTAGTCCACTGTGGATTTTTTTCAATTCAGAATTCAGAATTTTGGACTGTATCCTTTAAAAAAACCCCAAACCAACCCCCCACAAATCAAAAAGTAAAACAACACAGGAAGAAAATTAACACCACCCCCACCTCCCCAAATGTACATGAATGGTAAACTTGCCAGCACAGTGGTTTGCTTTTCAATGATGCAGAATGATGTGGTGATATGTGTACCTGCAATGCAAGTCTCCCTTGCTGCTTACTTGTGTGCATTGTGCCTGTATTTCCACCTGAATGTAGTTGCTGACATTGAAGGAATGGCTTCAGAGAAGGCATAGCTAGGTCTCATGAATACCATTATTTGCAGCATATGTGTTTTGTAATTGGGTGATATACAGTCTGGTTATGTAAAAACATGTAGTTTGTGGCTTATTTGTATTTTTCTGTATTGAAATCTGCTTTACTCGATTCAAAGTTGTGGAAGCTGATGGCTTACTTCAGTAAATTTGACCTTTCTGAAATGGATGATTTATCAGGTTTCACGCACATAATGAAACATGTAGCTGAGCACACAGAAATCCTTCTACAGCTGCAACAGCTCTTTGTGCATCTATCTTCCCCAGTAACAAAAAGAACAGAAGGAAATGGATTGCTTTCAGGTCCCTGGTGTGAATTCAGATGGGAGACACTGATGAGATATATCAAAAAGAAGCGTTCTACAAAATGCCTACTGCTGGTGACTTGTAGCTGAAATGATTAAAATGCTCTGCTTCCTCTGGCCTTCATTTAGCATATTGCCTTCCTCAATCAGGTTTGAACATTTCTGAAAGAGGTTGTTTTAATGTGCAATAGGAGGGGCCAGAATGATTGCCCTTGGAGGGGAGGAAAGAGGGCGCTTCAATCATTTTCATTAGCCATCTATCACAAAAGTGATGCCTAAAGTCTCATAGCTACCAATGCTCACTCGAGCTGGAAGCAGCTTCACATAAACCTCCAGGCTGCCTTCTGACCTGTTCTTCGTTAATACACCAGGGCTGCAGCAGGCTACACAGCCAGGTAGGCTCCCTTCTTTAGCTTCAATTAGCTACAGATTCAGCAGGATTTTTAAGCTGACCTTTAAAAGAATAGTATTTTTCTGCTTCAAATGAGAAAAAAAAAGCTGTAGAACAGCATTTTGAACATATTTCATCGAGTTTTGAATGTGTATTTAAAGTGAGCCTACTTGTTTAGAGATGGACTGTCTCAGCACTTTAAGTAATTGCTATATAGAGCACAGCAACAGATGGTAAAAGTGGTCTGAAGGCATAAAAACCTCAAGAAAAGGGCGAAATCTTCTTTCTGCTTAATCCCTGAAAATTTTACCATAATCTTCCAGGGGTCCACAATTTTACCTGCATAGTTTCATTGACAATACCAAATCACAATAAAGGAAATGCAACACATGAGAAATAGAGTACTGCATTATAAAAGTCACTATTACCTTCAATGGCAAACGGCTTTCCCACAGTTAGAAGCTTGCAGTCAGCATCTATTGATACTTCATAATCTAAAAGTGCTTTATCCATGATGAAGGCATCGAGTTTCTCTGGATCATGCCTGTATTCAACATCAAAGTCAGAAACAGAATCACTTCACAGTCAGACTCAGTGATAGTTGCTGAACATTTCTCTATGTAGTTCTCTGGAAGATTACTGAATGAAAACAGAGACCAGGGACTGCTATTTGCACTCCTGCATTTAAAATGCAGAACTGATTTGTATTTTGAAGAATGAAACTATGCGTGAAATACAAAGTCTGTGCGAACTGGGCATGGGACTTATTTTGCTCCCGTGAAATCCTATTGATCTGAAAGGTGGCAAATACTACATTATGTTAAGACTTTTGACTCAATTGAAAGGTAGCATAAGGTTTTATTGGAAAAGATAAAAAGATTTCTAAAATACTAGCGCTGACTTTGTTTCTTTGTGATGTTAAAGTTATAATCATTAAGCAAAAATGCAGGAGAATAACCCATTCAAAGGTGTTTCTCCTCCTTTCTCCTTGAATATGAGGTAGATTAATCCTCTTCACCTAGATCAGCTTTTCTCTGTGTTCGTGAATAACACAATCATTTATGAATAGTACGCTTGCATAAATGGTGATATAAAAGAACAGTTCCAGTGCCTATTTTCATCGATCCAGGGACTGAACTCTCCACTCTTTTCACCTCACAGGTCCAGGTGTTCTCCTGATACGAAGTTACTTTACTTCATTGATTTTGATGGACAGATTCCAGTTTAAGTCAGAGAAACTTCCATGTATCTTAATTATCATGAAGATGGGTCTGGGAAAAATACATAAACAGGAAACAACTTCTGGTGGAAAATTCTCAAGCCATCTGTTATGCAACTTCTATGTGTAAAATGAATGAATTATTTCAGGCTTATTATCACCCCTCCTGTTTCCTGGTAGAGTAAATCAGTTGTGTGACCCCAGATTGTTAGGCACAAATGTCTCTGAAACACAGCGATACCATGAGTCCCTAAAGCAAGAAGACTTGGTGTTTATTACTTTTAAATCAGTCTAATATTTCTTTTAGTCATTTTAATGATACATGCTTTAAGGTTTCTCTCCAAGAACCATCTCTCCTCCCAGCATGCTGAAGATGCTGGGGAACCTCATTTGCAGCTTCAGCTTTTGCTTGGACTCTTTTTTTGCTGAATGTTTCTCTCTGCCTGTTGAAGGGCTCCCAAGCACAGAAACATGCCAGGATTTATACGTTGCCCATGCTTGATCACACCCTAGCAGTTACTGTGAAGCACTTTTCCCCTGGGAACACTCCAGCTGGTGCTACGCTAGCTTGCTTTCCAAGTATCACTCCCTCCAGGTAATTACATGCTTTCCTTTTCACCTGCCACACTCCCTTCAATGACTGTTTTGTGGGGTAAGTGATACTGAAAGTGGGAAACCCATCACCATCTCACTTCCATGCATTCTGGTCAAGGGACCAGATCTACTGTTTTATGCAGAGGCTCACTTTAGATATGCCACTCCATCTGGGGTTGCAGGGACATTGTACCGTCTCATGTACTCATGCATCTCTGGGAAGCTTTGCCTCACATAGTCTTCTGCGCTGCTTTCTCGCACGGTTCCAAACCGAAACCCTTGGGATGGGTGGTGGAGCTGAGGAGATGAAATTACAGATTAGCAGAGCCATTTGCCTCCTTCACATCTGGTATTTTGGTCTGCTATGTGAACAGTTTGTCAGAAATTCTCAGCCTTCACAGACCTGCCTCTGATGTTTTTCTGCCATCAGTTTTCCTGATTACAGAGAAAGTTTGAAAATACTTACCAGGTGGCTGATTAACCTGTTTGTGTAATATCAAGATTTTCTTTAAATGTAAAAATCATTCCCCTTGAGACACCCTGAACCCCCAAATCCAGGTTTTTAGTTGGCTTGTGTTTAAATAAATTAGTGTTTGAGGAAGTGTTATGAGAAGCCTCTACGCTACCTAGTACCCACTTTCTGGTGCCCAGAGTAACCAGTGAACAACCCTCAGTCTGGATTTGCTTTAGCAGGATGTCTTTTATTGATACCTTAAGAATGAGATTAAAGAATCTTCTGCAGAAAGGATAGCACAACCATTTCCCTTCTAGAAGCCTAGACAACCTACCACTGACTGCTGCTGTCTTTACTGCCATTCTTCACAGAGAATCTCAAGACTAAAGTGTTGTGGACACCAAAATGTCTCCACTGGGAGCAAGAAGTTCACCTCAGTACCTCTCACCACAGCCAAAGCTGTAAGGCAATTTTTGCACTTCTGTGTCCTTTCCTTCTCACAACTGGCTTCACCTGCTGTATTAAACCCCCCAGTAGTTTGGATGTTCACAGAAGTTTCAAAAGTTTCTGTTTCTGAAGTACCCTGCTTGTCTTTGGAGTGTTTAGTGACTCATGGGGAAATTCTCACATTGCAGTTGAGGTGTCAGGCAGTGTCCTCTACTATGCCAAGCACTTGGCTGAGATGGCTGAGTGTTGCCAAGATCATACTAATTGGAAAGCCTCCAGCAATGTACCAGCCTCTAAAATGTGGAACTTTCAGAGCACAAAAAGCCAAATAAAACTAAGGCTGAAGTAGCCATGCTCTATTTGCTTCCCAGGAAGCTCACGGTCTTCACAGAAGCTTGCAAAGATGATTCACCAAGACCATGCTCTGCTTTGCAAAGACCACACAAAGAGGTGTTCTGCTGGTCCATCTGGCTCTCTTCATTATTATCTACAGAAAACAGTATAGGGCAACACAAAGCTGTACAAAAGACATTTCCTACTGTTCTCTTCAATGACGCCACGGATGAAAAAGTGTAGTTAAGACTAACAAAGGTTGAATGTAAATGCATAGTCATCTGGTTCAGTCTGAAAAGGAATGGAAAAAGGTCTTTTGGATGGTATTTCAGTGTCTTGGAAGATATTAATATAATGCCTTTCTGCTAATTTTTACCTTAAAATGGGCAGGTACTTTCCATATCGTGCTCTGCTGATTGGGTCCCAGTGTTGCAACCCAGGAACAAGACTGGTGGCACAGAGGAAGTCCTGCTATGTTTTCAGAGGTGTTCTGGACTTGATGACCACAGAACAAGCAATGCACAGTGTGCCTCCATCTGGCACTGGCCATAGTGCTTGCTGTGCCAGAAGGACTGTGGGCGCAGAGGGAAATGTTCCTGCCTGCAAGTGTGGAAGCAATATTCAAGTGCCAGAAGGCATAAATAGCAGAGAGCTGTGCTGTGACAATACATTATGGAGACTTCCAGCACAATGCTGTCAACCCAAATCTAGGTCTACCCTTGAGACATTGAAGATGACCTGCTTGAAGAGTAAGTTTAGAGTGGGTTCCATACACTCAATGCCCCAAGAAGCTTGTCACCACAGTCAGCACTATTTTTTAGGTTTTACTTCTTTGAAGTTTCAGTGAAGAAACTGAAAACCCCTGAGTCTCAAAAGTGAACCACAGTGCCACCTTCCAATCCAGCTTAGGTGTTGGTTGTGATATTTGTGGCCCACCTAATGATGTCAAGTACAGCTGGTGATCCTGACTTCACTGGGAAGTATCCCTCACTCAGAATGTCACCAGTGTCTACATCTAGCTAAATATTTAAGCCTCTGTGAGAAAGACTAGAACAAAAGAGAAAGCAAACTGCACCTTCATGCAATTTTCTGTTCCAAATGCTTTACTGAGGACTGTCCATGCTTTGATTTGTGTTGGTCACTTTGTCAAATTTCACCTCAAATGGTGACAATATTGGAATACGTATTAGATTAAAATTCCATCTGGCTTAATATCCTGTTGCAAGCAACACCATATGTGTGGTGGGAAGTCTTGGAAAGTCTATGTAAGGAAGTTGTAGTGATCCCCTGCATCTTATGCTCTACTTGCTTCTGATAATCTATGCTTTCTTAAGCATAATTATGTGTCTGCAACACTGTATTTGATGACCCTTACTCCTTGTATGAAGGATAAAACTTAATAGTGTTTTAATCCTCTGTGTCTTTTGGGACTTCCAGTTTTTTTGTCACTGCTGCCTATCCACATGAGGAAAAGGCTTGCTTGCAGCTACATGAATAGTGGATTAACAATGCAAAATGATGCCAAAAGCAAATAATGGACTACCTGCAATGTCTTTGCTGCTAATCTACTAAGACTGCTAAGCATCACAGAAGATAAAAACCTCATGATGGAAACAAGGCTCATCAGTTGTCACTGCTCCTTTCTTTTTGTAGTCCTCTCCTCGGAAGAGTCTATGAAAAGATGGAAACCATAAATATCTCTGTCCCGACAGGATAGGTAAATGTAGTCTTCCTGTGAGTCTTGCCTTATCTCTTTCTTTATCTTTTCTGTTTCTCATTGTCTGTTTCATGTTTCTTGAATTTTAAGGGTCCTATATTGAAAGAGTCAGTCTTTCAGTTCTCTTTAAACTAGCAACAACATCCTAATATTTAGGGCTTCAGAGAAATCCTGAACTCTGAAAAATTAGCTTTTGAAGAGTCACAATTTTAAGAATCAAGATTTTTTTTTTTTAATTAACTGGTGATTTGGGGGAGACAGTTACTTTCTTATCAAAACCAGCAAACATGAAAGCTGTCTTACTGAGAAGGAACAGTTCTCAAAATTTACTAGTATGTGGATACTACAGTTCAGTGTATAGTCCTGTGTTTTTTCATTCAAAGCTCAGTCAGTGTGAAGGTGAATAACCATCACAAAGGTGGTGATGGATGGACAATAGGACCATTTGTACTTTCTGCATCCATAGAGAAGCCGGAGATTTCCTAGTGATTCAAGTATAATTAAAAATAAATTAATGCAATACCTGCAGTTCCATCCCCAGACACGAGTTTTCTTGGTACTCAGCTTAGATAACCTTACAAGGTCCCTCCTAAATCAGACATCTACAGCTGTAACAAATCGAAACAGCATTTGTTTTGACCTAGAGAGCCTTTCAGGGAAAACAGCTTGACAATTCCTTGAACCAGATGTAAAGAAAGTTATGGGTACAGATGATACATTCCTCTTTATTCATCTCTTTAGCTGTCAGACCTCCCTTCTGAAGAACTGGGAGCAAAGGAAATCACTTGTTTTTAAAAGGGTCACTGCTATAGGAGTAACTGCTCCTCAGCCAGTAGTACAGGCTTGGTACTTCCAAGCAGCCTCTCCATGCACTGCATGGGAGCTAAGCATTGCTGCCACATGTGGGACTTGTTAGTGTTTACTGACTAACCAGCCCTTCGAATGTTAGTTAGCAAGGCCACCACAGTGAACTGCAGACTATGTTGGCTGAGCTGCTGAGTGGGAGAAACAGGTGAATGCCAACGGCATGGGCAATGTAACTGTGTACATGAATATACAAATGAAGTAGTAAAAAAACAGTGTTTTTCAGGGATTAAAAAGCTATTTAGTGTTGCTGGTTAGTGGCTTTCCCCAAAACGTTGAAGTTTCTGGCAGTTAACAATAAAATTTCTGCAGCTCGAATACTGGATATCACAGATTTTATATTACTAAACTCAGTTTCAGACCTTAAGCACTGTTGTATGCCATAAATGGTCATACTACTCAGGTGCATCCCAAATTTTTAGAACTATCTCCCCAGCCTACTGCAAGAAAGCTACTGCCCAAGAAGTTGTGAGACACATGGTGACCTCCCATTTGGATCTGGGTCAGTATGTGGGGCACACTCAAGAGATGGTCACGAGAGACCTCACAGCAAAGGGAGAGGATCTTGCTGCATAGGTCAGATAGTTGGAGAGAAGATGACCCATCTCTTGTGAAGAGAGAACTCTTGGGAGGGAGGACTAGGAAGTGCTGCTTGGAAGGTCAGGGTGAAGGAGCAGGGGAAAGGCTGAAAAGCTTTGGAAGTGAATATGCTTTTTGGGAATTGGGGTACCAGTGCTGTTCCTGTGGCCTCCACGGACAGTATCTACCGTGGGATGTATGTGCTGTGCTGCTACTTCCAGGAACAATTCTCACTGTTGAAGAAAACATACTGTGGATAAGAAAACAAACAAAGGGTAATGTTTTCTTACACTAAGAAAACACAGGGTAAAGTGAACGCCTCCAACTGCTGAGGAGGTGAAGTGGTTGTTGGGTCACTTGAGCACTAAGACAGGCAGGTCAAGTAGTGTTTATGAAACTCGAGAGCCCCACAGAACATCAAGCTGACAGTGCCAGGAAAAACCTTAGGGAGTTCTTGAGAGTCTTCTGTACCTTGTATAGCATTGTGCTACTAGACAAATGATGTTTGTGCTGCTTACTGCCAAAAGCAGATACTGCAGCTACCAGTTTCCTTGGCTTGGCACTTCTAGATCTTCTTGGTTTCTGTCTTCTGTTGTTACCACATCTGCTGAGTAGGAAGTGGAAAACTTGTTTTATTTGGGAAGATGTTGAGAAGAATTTGGTATTTGCATACATCTATGGCTTGGGGTGCCAATTATGCATGAAAATACCAATGTGATAAAACCACAGGAGCAAGAACAGGAAAATACAATCCTGAATGTCAAGATTTTGCATTACTTGGCACATTCCAGTTTACGTAAAACAGTGCCACTGCATTCAGTGCCATCAGCTAGGCTGAGAATACCTAGGCTCAGACTTGAAAAGACTCAAACATAGAAATCTCCTATGGAAGCTGGGATTTAA